ACTAAATCATCTCCGAGGGTCCTTGATCGCTGTGCTCAGCTCTTTTCGGCTACAGAGCAATAAATCAGGCAGCTAGAGAGAGCGCTTTGGAAGAGGCAAGAGAAGAGTTAAAAATAATAGGGGCTCCATTATTCCATTATACCCATACAGCTCCTAAATCTACAAAAGCAATAACGGATCCTACTGCATGATTCAGTGATTCGGGGAAAGCTGAAATCTTGATCATATTTTCTAGTTCTTTCTTTGCATTAGGAGACACAGGGGTTATTTTGCTTATCTGTTGTAGCGCAGCTTTGTTGTTTTTCCCTATCTCGGTATTTATACGGTCTCCATCACCATAGTATCGGAGTGTTTATTTTATTGCACCTGTCACCTTGGTCTCGTCGCAGCATAATGTACTGTGGATGACAAAAGATTCCTGGTTAAATTGGTTCAGTGACATGAACAGCTTTGTCAATACCGTGCAAACGTTAACAGGAGTGGGTAGTACCAATTCGGCTGCCTCTCAGACCAGTTCTACACTGGTGTAATTGTATTGCCTGCAGTAACATTATTTTTGGTTTGCGTTCCTGCCTGTGGCAGAAGAATTAGACCTGCAGTCTTTTCAGCCTTCTCCACAGCATCCCTTTTATAAAAAAACCCACCAAACAACTAACCAAACAAAACCAACCCCAAAACCAAACCAGCACAGAAGGGAGACTGGTCTGCCCAGTAAAACACATCCTGCCTGTCCCCTCTGCTCTGTTCCTGCCGCGCTGAGGTGCTGTCCGGCACAGAGAGCAAACGGGAGGCAAAGTGACCAGGGCAAGAGAGGCAGAAGTGAGGAACCTGGAGGAAATGCAGGTTTTTCCCCCAGTTTCCAGAAGCAAAGCACACAGCGCCCGGGGCGAGCTCCTCATGGGCTTGAGGGGCTCTGAACCGCCGTGCGGGGCAGGACCGGCGCTGGGAACCAGGAGGCTGCGGGTGCCGAGGCTGCGCGGGGACAGGTTGGATGGAGACGGGAACGAGAGCGGGACAGGAGCCGCGGGAAGGTGCCGCAGAGATGCTGAGCTCGGCCACAGCCCCGGCCTCCGCGGTGCCGGCCCCGAGGGCAGAGCCCTGGGGGTGCTGCCAGCGCTGCTGCTGCCCCCCGACAGCCCCCGGCCTCTGGCCTTGGCCCGGAGACGCGTCGGCGGGGCTGGACGGGGCCTCCCGCAGGCGGCCGAGGCGCTCTGAGAGGGAAACGCTCCACGCCAGGGCAGCGCGGCAGAAAACAAACCTCTTGCGGCTGAACAAACACCGGCATGAGGCACCGACCGGAGCCCCCGAGCCCCCGGCTCCCGGGCAGGGCCGTGGAGCGGCGGAACTTCAGCGTTCGGGGATCCGCGAAGGCTTTTGCATTCGACTGACCCGCTTCGCGAATCAGGATGAATTGCTTCGTATTTCACGGGGTAACGCGGCACCGTGTAACCCC